CATTTGTAAACTTAACAACCTCTCAATTTGTTGAAGCTCTTCTCAGCACAGGCTACACCCTGCCCCTCCCTAAATTTGGGTGTCATCATGAATTTAGAAATTGTTTTCAATTCCAAATCTAAATCATTATTGTAAATTGTAAACAGTGGTCCCAGCAATGATACTTCCCACCACCTTGTGCTCTGAATAACTCCCTTTGACTCCTACTCTCTATCATAAAGTTAGCCAGAAATCCATTCAGTTACTTGTCCCCCAAGTCCACATTTTCCGAACTTATTTATTAGTCTATCATGGAGCATTTTAGCAAAGGATAAACTGCACCTGCTGCATTCTTGTTGTCTACGCTTTCTTATTTCCTAAAATTTAATACAGTCAAAAGATTTTCCCATCTAAAATCCATGCTGACTATTCGTTATATTTGTTGTCTCTAGATATTCTTCTGTTTTGTCAGGCTACTATTATTTTCCCTTACCAATGATAAAGTGACTAGTCTGTAATGTCCTTGACACATTCTGTCCCCATTCTTAAATATCAGAACTGCAACAGCTATCTTCCAGTCCTACAGCACTCCACTTTTTTCCTAAGTGATTATTCAGGACCCCATATTAGGCTTATTAGCAAAAATCGCAGTCCGTGAGATAAAAGGAGCAGTGTGGTGCAGTTTTCGTGGAGGGATAGAAAACAGAGTTATAGTAATGGCTGTTTTTCAAACTGCCATGAGGTGTACAGTGGTGGTGTACTAGGACAACTGATATCTTTGATACACATCAAATGACTTGGAATTGGAGATACAGGATGCAGATGCACATTGTAAATGGACATTGTAAAGTGTAGTGAACATTAAGGAAGATCGTAAAACAGTTAAAGACATTCATAGAATAGGTAGTCATTAGGCAGATGCAAGTCAATGGTGAAAGCAGTAAAGTATAACTGGGTTTCAGTACAACTAGAAGCTAACCTAGTACTTGCAAATGATGCAATTAAGAATTAGCATATAAATGATGAAGAGGAAGAGGGAACCAAAGACTGTAGCAGTAAAAGGCAGTACAACAGAGTCTCTGCAGTGTATAGACAGGCCATTCAGCCCATTAAGTCCACACCACCCCTCCAAACAGAATCCCACCCAAACCCATCCCATCCCTGTAATCCTGCATTTACTGTCGCTAATCCACCTAACCTGCACATCTCTGAACACAACGGGCAATTCAGCATGGCCAATCCGCCTAACTCGGACTGCAGAAGGAAACCAGATCACCTGGAGGAAACCCAGCCAAACAAGGGGAGAATGTACACAGTCGCCCGAGGCTGGAATCGGGCCTGGGTCCCTGACACTGTGGGGCAGCAGTGCTAACCACTGAACCACCGTGTCACACTGCCATAAACCTCACTATGAGCTACAATCATTTTCATCACAGATAGATCTCAAATCTTAAAAGAATGGAGTAATTGCAAAGCAAAAGGCTCCCTCTTTACATAGCTTCCACTATCCATCTATAGAAAGATCACCCTGTAGTACTAGGAAAAAGAAAGGACTGCAGATGCTGGATTCAGCGTCAACACAGTGTAGAGTTAGAGGAATACAGCAGGTCAGGCAGTATCAGAGGAGCAGGAAAGTCAACGTTTTGGGCCGGGATCTCCATCATCCTGAAGAAGAGACCTGACCTGAAACGTTGGCTTTCCTGATCCTCTGATGCTGTCTGACCTGCTGTGTTCCTCCAGCTCCACACTGTATTGATCCTGTAGTACTATCCTGCGCTATTACAGAGCAATTCAATTGTATTTTGACATTCAAATATGATAGTCAGTGAATGTCACATGCATTCAGAAAAACTTGCATGGCTTGTTTCAGGGCATCAAACTGCAGGGGTCACTAGCCGTACAATGTAGAACTGACTGACTATTACTCTAAACTGCTTTATTGAAAGCGTCCTTCTTTAGTCATATGGCTTCTTCACTCCCATTTATTTCATTGGCAATCAACTGTAGAACACCTTGATTAACTTGTAATAATTGTATCAAATCTTCAGTGGCCATCATTACACATTCGTATTAATTGAATTGGCAGATAGTGGCAAAATCATTTCATTAAAAAGTTTCAAAGCTCAAATTTCTGGAATCAGATGATAATTATACATTCACCTTTATTTACTTTACCAATGTATCACAAGTGTTCCCTGATCGTGTAAGTGCCTTGCAATCTAAGTGGTTTACTCTTCTCTGAAGATCAGTGTTATTGCACTCATCAGTAAACCTTTCTCTTCCAATCAACAGGCCTAACTTTAAGAGCACCATAACGTGAAACAATTCCTCCAACACAAATAGATCTGGATATCACAATTTTCCAACTAGAGTACAATTTTTAAAAACACCAGAAGAAGTTTTTCAAAAGATATTAACAAGGTTAGAAATCTAAAATCATGGCTTTCAAACACCTGAGATTCGGGTGACTAGTAAATGATTTGAATGTAATTTATAAAGCTTACAATAACTCCACATCACTACACACAACTGTCCTACTTTATATTTCAGACTGTAGGGATACAGATACAAAATAAGTTATTGCTCCCATGGGCCTATTAGAACAAAAAGAATGCACATAACCATTCTGTCCAATTAAAGAGTGGTTCAATTCGTTCTGTGCTTTCCCATCTGTGTGTCAGGTCAATATCGACCTTAAAGTATCACTAGCAGCAGTGACCTTTATCAATGGCAGACATATTGCTAGACATGGTGACATTATTGTGGAAAGCATCTGGGAAACCATTAAGCTTTATTTTGAATAATTGAACTTTTATTAATTCTTAAAACATACAAATAAATAAACAAGCACAATTAAATGTATAGGTTACCAACAATTATATTTGCAATCTTTCTCAATGCCAATTTTCTCAACCAATTTTGATATAAACCAAATACTTTGTCTTCAAGGATTATAATCTATTTATTTTCAATCAGCTTAATTCTGAAACTCAATTTAGGAATAGATATAACAAATGCTCTAGACGGCTGTGTGCCAGAAAATTTAACTAATTAACATACAAGACAGGTGTGCATCTTACTCAATTAAATATCATTATTTCAGAATTCTGGAACATTTATTAAACTTATCAGAATCCAGAAAATGTTTTAATAAGCCCTTACAATAATATGGTGGTACAGTGAAACAATGATTATCTATCCAGCGGAGCAGGAATCTACCCATAACTCATACATGTCTGTACAGTCAACTGCAGTCACCTCTTTTACTAGCAACAGTTTATCAATCAATTCTTATACAAACTTCTAGCTCCAATACACACCCGCACACAAATCCAGGTCCAGACCTGCCACACACCTGAAAGAGCTGGTCAAAAATATTCCCTATGCTAAACATGCTCCCCAGCTACAGAGAAGAGTACCAGAATACTTTGAATTCCAGTTCTCCCATCAGCTGCCAAACTGATCTGATTAGAACTTCCTGACTTGAAATCAATGCTGTGTCCATTTAAGTGTGCTCTTTACTACTTTGTGAAACATGCTGACCAATAAACAGTAACATACACGCTGAACTATCTTCTTTTTTTCAATTACCAGTACCTAGATAAGATGTCTAGCCTCTGAAGAGACCATTGACTGTTCTACAAAGAGCAGAATGACCTTCAAAAAGAATGTGTAGTACATTAATGAGATGGAGAGAATACAACATCCACATGACACTGTCTCTAAGTGTTAAAGAGCCACAGATATTTTTAAGTTCTTTGCTACAGCAAAGGAAAACTAATTCCACTCAGATTCTCTCTCCATAATACTTGATCTCCCTTGACTTCAAACATTTGTCCACTTTTAAAAGATGTCATGATCTCTATCTTAACTATTAACTGTAGCAAGTCCATCTGTGTCTTGATAAGTCTGTGTTATTGCTGCATCACTTGTCTTGATATGGATCATATCCTCTTTCTCAGGTGATTATTAAGAGTTGGGATGTCATGTTGCGGTTGTACAAGATGTTGATGAGGCCTCTTCTGGAGTACTGTGTGCAGTTCTGGTCACCCTGCTGTAGGAAGAATATTATTAAATTGGAGAGGTTTCAGAAAAGATTTACCAGGATGTTGCCAGGAGAGGGTTTGAGTTATAAAAATAGGCTGGGACTTTTTCCACTGGAATGTAGGAAGTTGAGGGGTGACATTATAGAGGTTTATAAATCATGAGGGGCATAGATAAAGGTGAATAGCAAGGGTCTTTTCTCTAGGGTGGAGGGTGGAGGGAAGAGTTCAAAACTAGGGGGCATATTTAAGGCAAGAGGTGAAAGTTTTAAGAAGGACACGAGAGGCAACTTTCTGTTTACACAGAGAGTGGTTCATGTGTGGAATGAACTACCAGAGAAAGTGATGGACGCAGGTACAGTTACAACATTTAAAAGACATTTGGATAAGTTCACGAATAGGCACGATTTGGAGAGATATGGGCCAAATGCAGGCTAATGGGACTAGTTTAGTTCGGGAAAGTGATCAGCATGGACTAATTGGACCGAAGAATCTGTTTCCATGTTGTATGAATCTGTGATTCAATATCTTTTTGTACCAAGATAATGGCACAAGGAGTACCAAGGTGCAAAATATATTAGTTGCAAATGATATTGGTGTTGCTAATATAATAAATGAGAACCTGTCAGCTGAAAATTCCTTTTTTTTGATGTATTAGTCCCTTGACCGTGCCGAGAAAAGGTTTATCTAACAATCTCAGATGCAAATGAAAATCAATCCCACAGCATTCCCAAACCTGGAAGATGATCATTACCAATCTATTAATGACATGAACCCATTTACAATTTTAATAACCACAAAAGTGTGTCCTCCAGTTCTCTCCGAACATCAGAGGTTTCTCAACCCTGCCCAATTCCCCATAATCTGAGTTGGTCTTTGCAAAGAATAAATTACATCGTTAGTTGCAGGAAGACAATGGCTGCAGGCCAATATTACAACACTTACAATCTGATACAACAATAAATTTATTATACTCACCATTTCTTTGTGCACTCTACCATTAATTCTTGGTACGAAGCCACGAATTGGAACTTGGATGCATGCTTTCCCACACGTTGCAGCCGTTTCCAAACTGAAGCCATGATTATTATAACTTGGTTTTGGACAGATGAGTTCAGGTATAAAACACAACTTCAATTTTCCAAGTTTATAATTTAGACATACAAGTGTAGATCCTTTAAGAGCGATAACATTTCTTCCACAACGTTCATTGAAAAAAAATCACAAACAGGATGACAGATTCCAATGTGGTTTGCCAAGTACTCCAGTAACCTGCATGACTGTGGCAGGAAGTTGCTGTCAATTCAACTAGTCATTCCTCTTGGGTTTAAATGACGTTGAATCATCAGGCCTGGAAACTGAGACACAGATACCAGTTTAAAATAAATGCAAACAGAATGATTAGCACACAACTACAACTAGCAAAAAAAAAACTGGTAGCCAACAACAGAAGCACTTTACCAAAATGTTTTAAATGACCACAAAATAATACATTTTTGTTATTGTTTAGATTTCAATATGACTTCTAAAAGTTGTTGCAGGAGCTAGGGACATATTATTTAAATTCACCTTCGAACATTGACATTTACCTGCTCAATTGAAACATTTGTGCACAACGTTTAACCGAAAAATGTCTAGATTTCACCACCTCAAAAATGCTTATGCTCTTACCTCCTAAAACAAAGTGCATTATTCATTATTGAAAAAAAAACTCACCATCTGTCTTTTTATTTTAAAGATATCAGTTTGTCTATTAGAGAGATTTACACAACAAAAGATTACAATTAACACAAAGCTGACAATCGAAAGAAAAATAAGTAAGGCATGATCAACACAACACAAGCAAATAAACCCTTTTGAACATTTATCACTTGTACAAAATCTGCAGACATTTAGGCCACAAAGAAGTGACAGCTAAAGTATGATATCAAACATATCAGATGGAGCTTTCACTTCCAACTGAATGCGCCCAGACTCAAAAACTACAAACTGCCCACTATATTAAAGAGTGACATCCCAACCAAACTAGACCCCCAACCCCAGGGAAATCTTCCTGCTCCAGAGCACACCATCTCTACTACAACATTTCCACCTCTGTCAACTACATTCCCCCAGAAGAAAATACCGACCCCGACCCCTGTCAGAACAGCATGACCCTCTTGACAGATCCACCCCCTCTACATCCACCAGTGTCGCTCTCCACATACACACACACACACACACAACCCAGATCCTCCCAAGTCAGGGCAGATCTTCCCCCTCAGAACACACTCCCCACATCCCACTCTCATGGTCTACCCTCAGAGCCACCCCGTCAGTGCATACACACATCCCCCCAACCAGAGCCTACCCCTCAGGGCACACCCCCCTGCCCCTCACAGAGCCTATCCCTCAGGGCACACCCCCATGCCCCTCACAGAGCCTACCCCTCAGGGCACACCCCTCCCCTCAGAGCCTCCCCAACAGAGCACACCACCCCCGAGCACACCACCCACCCACCCACCCACCCCTCAAGAGACTCCCCCTCACGGCACACCCCCCCCCCCCCCCGCCCCCCCCCCCCACCCCCGCCCTCTTTCTCCCACCCCCCTCCCCCCCCCCCCCCCCCTTTCCTGGGGTTCCCCTGCCCTGCCCTGCCCTGCCCTGCACCCCCAGGCTCCCCCTCACTGACCCCCCCCACGACCCCGGACTCCACCTCACTAACCTGCCCCTCCCCCCCGGGTTCCCCACTGTCTCTCCCCCCATCCCCGGGGGTTATTGTCTGGAAGTCTCCCCCTGTTCCGAGTCCCCGGGTCGTAAACCCACCGATTGCGACTTTGTGAAACTCGCTCTCCTTGGCCAGTTACTCGGAGAATGAGAGCACGGCCTCAAACACCGAGCACAGCTCTCGGCGTCGTCTCCATCCTCAGAGCGCAAGGGACCGGGGACCG